GGACCCTAAGTTTCATTGTAAAACCAAACATATAGATATCAAGTATTATTATGTGAGAGACATTGTTAGACGCAAGGTAGTGAATATGAAGTATGTGTCTACAAAAGATATGTCAGCAGATCTATTGACCAAGCCTTTGTCTAGAGATGCATTTGTGAGACATACTAGGTCTCAAGGCTTGCGTAGACTTTGATATTCTTCATTTTGCTATTTATTTTTCTATGTTTACAAAACTGATGTTCTTTAATTATCAATAAAATTTATTTACATACATACATATTTTTATTGTTGAATATTATGTGCATTCTTTATTCTTTTTGATAAGTATGTCGGGTAGACAAGAGGTTGGCCTTCTCATACAAGCAACCGCCTCCTTATCTTAGTGAGTGAGGAGATGAGACATGATTTTAAGCAAAATTATCATAAGGATAATTTGAGAGCTATTCGCTTCAAATCAGAATGTCGTTTAAACAATGACATAAGGTCATTAGGGTGAAAATCGTTCACTTAGTCTACTTTGTGAGCCAGATTTGAGTTAAATATGATTTTGTAGATCAAGAAACTCAAATTTAGATACTTATGGTGTCTAAATATCATCTGTATAGCATTCTTTATGAGATAAAGACATACACTCCTTGGGAAAAAGGAGAAAATATTGTAGCACGTGTTTCATACCATGTGTGCTAATGTCGACCAATTGGGTTAACATAAGTCCATTCTCAACTTATTGTTGTGTGAGACCTAGAGCTTTTATGATGGCTCAAGACTTTATACCCTCAGAGAATCTAATTAGATACTTGAGACTTAGTGTGATGTTAGCTATCTTAGTGTGTTTCCAAAAGACCATGTTCACAGATTCGGTCAAGCGGAGCATATCTAGAAAAGTTGTCATACTAATGTTAAGGGGATCGTGAGAAGAGGAAGTACATTGATGGAATCTCATTTATTTGTGTTCACTGGTGCACCAATTATAACTTATGAGTTATTATTGTGAATACAAGAAATAATGATATATGAGATTTTGAGATTATATCAAATGTGATTCATATGATCTAGGGTACTACATACTTTATGATCTACTTGCAAGTTCGCACTCGACGAGAGGCTATATATTCCTAACATATGTATAGCACTTAGCTCTCAGAGTATGCTGGTCGCACGGTCTACTTCCCTGTATGAATGATTGAGGAGATGAATTGAGAATATGTTTCTCAGACTGGATGAGCACTCCCATTATGTGTGAGTGGGAGATGTATCTACCCATAAGGGGTGCTCTTAGGACCCACTAGGGTAAAACACATTAATTTTAGTAATTACTGTAACCCTAGTGTTCTCTATATAAATACACTTATAGTGTACAATAAAAATATACTCTCTGCAGTATATTTCTACGCTCTTCTCTCTCAATTTCAGTTAGAGTTAAGATTGTGATATAGAGGGTTGCTCCGTCACAACGTGACAACCATCACAGACCAGTGATTCCAGCCGCGATTCATCAGTTCTTTTCGCTGCGCGAACAAGTAAGTTATCGTTTTACGATTTACGCGCTATCTAATGTGTTTAGATTATCACGTTATGTTACAAAAGGAATAAATTTCTTGGGGATTAAGACGGATTTTAGCTGTGTTACTTAAATGTAGGTTGAGGTTCTCGAATGTTATTGGCACGCATAGAGGCTAGCTTAGTTGGAAATGAAGGATTTTGAGGTAAGGTGAGGCTCTCTCTCCTAAGATAGGATACTAAGTGTTTGATAAATTACCTAAGTATGGAATTTAAATTTTAACCTACCCTATAATTTCTGCAACCACAATATAGACGACCCAAATTTTTTGGCGTGCAAGATAATCTTAGTGGAGCTTCTTCTTCACAATAACTGGAGGGTGCAGAATGTGCTATTGGCTAAGATATAAGGAAAATAATAGAAATCTGAAAAAAATAAGAATTGTGGAAGAGGGAAGGAGAAGATTTGGCTCTATTAAATAAAGGGGATAGAGAAAATATAGGAAATTTTAGAGAAAAGAACATTGGGGAAAGGGATTTTGTCACAACCCAACCTCGGGGAGCGCGACCGGCGCTCAACCGAGATAACTCGGCCGAGCAAGCCTGTACAATACCTTCTACCCAAACTCACTCATGAATAAAAAAATATCTATTTCATTAATTAGACAATGGGGAGGATCATGTGAACAACACCAATTCATTATCATTAGTTACATCACATATAAGTTTCAAAATACATACACCTTCGTAGTTTGAAGTGGAACATGTGGTACAAATACAACATTACTACTTAGACTTGCTCAACACCAACATACAACCCACACTATATCTATGGAACCTCTAATAGATACAATGTAGTACGATGATAGTGCCGGAAACAAGGCCCCGGCTATACCTCAAAACATAATTTACAAGGAACGAAGATACACGACCCCGAAATGAAGTGGGGCTCACCAAGTCAGCTACGAAGAGGGTGCACCGCTATCAATGATCAAAGCCACCTGCTGTAGAACCACCTGTATCCACTAAAGATGCAGAGCCCCTAGCAAAAGGTACGTTAGTACATATGGAACAGTACTAGTATGAATGACTAAACACCCTCTCAATAGAACGAGTGATAACACAAGTAAGAACGATCGTAAAATTGATGGGAGCCTCAAACAATACCAAAACACCAAGTTAGGAGCAAAACAAGTTTTCAAGTAAATTTCCATATTTTAGGTTGGGAGATCTTAGCACCGATATACCACCGTGATTTAGCACGGAGTCCTATCACTGCCTGATCGGCTAGGCCGTCTCACCCAAAGACATCAACCATAATAACAATCATTATCTCAATCTCAATCGTTGATTCAATCATAATCTCAAGAACAATCACCACTATGTGTGCGCCATGGCGTCCGATCTCGAACCGATCGGCTAGGCCGTCTCACCACAATATCGTGTGGATCGACATCACCCTTTTCTAGCAATCATCTCATCCCAATAGAGGGGAATGTTCTCATCACATCAATCTCATCCCTAATAAGGGGAATAATCACAATTCATTCCTACACCGGCACATGTAGTTTCGGGGTTAGGTTATTTCAACCTATCCTTCCTCGGTGACTAACGAAACTCTCATAATGTTTATTTATTTAAAGGATTACAACTCATTTCAATATCGTTTCCACGACTATTGATTTCATTGGCACTAGTGGCCCCAAATGTAATATCATTCTTCGCACGTTGGCTGTATTTCATATTTCATGGTCATCTCTTTCACTTCCAAACATCATCACGGATCATCAACAACAAGCATTTTTACTTAGGACTCTAAGTACACATGTGAGCAAATAAGAATCTTAAGCACATTGAGATTTCTTAGACAATTTGGCATAATGGCTTTCATTTGGAACATGACTCGATGTTATAACACTTAGATACGCAGCCCATACTTTGAACACGTTCACAAATAGTAATCATAACATAACAAGAACATTTGGAATACATATTGAACATATCTCTTTTGACACGAGGCTTATTCGGAATAATCAATTTATAATGAACAACTCGGGACTTACAGGGACATTGTGGGGTTCAATTCTAAGAGGAGAGTTTAACCTCGCCTCGAGCTCCTTAAATTACTACAATATTCTGAAAATCTTAGCCACTTCGAACTATTTAAAAATATAGCCAAATTGAACATAAATTAGGAAGGAGTTCATGGTTCCAACTCATTTGAGCATTTTATCAAATACTAGGTGTGCATTAAGGTTTCAAGGTTCTTCCATAGTGGATTCCTTCATCCCACAACCCAATATATACCCTTTTTAGCTCAACAACCTTCCTACAACTTTGTTGGCACATGCATGCATAGATAACACCCCCATACCTAAGAATCACAATCCTCGTTATCTACATTCTACCCCAAACTATGAATTGAAGTTTAGGGTATGGAACCTTACCTCTTGGATGAAGACCTTGTGACTTTTTCTTGTGAATTCTCAAGACTTGAGCAAAGATTGGTAAACAATTAGTTTAGAAACCTCCTCTTACTCTAGAGCACTTCCCCCTCTCAAAATATCTGATTTTTACCTTACAAAAGGTCTTTAACGACTATATATCGAAATAGGGTCGGGTTACAAAATTAAAAAAAAAATGAAGCCCTTATGCAAATCTGCGGTCGCATATACGACAGCATAACACTTCTGCGGTCCACAAAATGGACCGTACAATGTCCCTCCAGAACTGGGCATTTCTGTGTAGGTATGCGATAGGTCTGTGGTCGGCGACCCGATTTTATGGTCGCAAAAGGGACCGCATAACCTCCTCCCAAAATTTCTTATGATGGCTTTTGCGACAAATGTGCGGCCTGCAAAAGGATTATGCGGCTGCATAATTGACCACAAAATAACTCCCAAAGTTTGGCCAATTCTCTGCTTCACTCTGCGGCGGATTTGTGGTCAGCAAATCAGTTTGCGATCACTGAATGAACCGTAAAAAGTGTTCAACCCAAAAATTCTGTACACAGTTAGCTTGCTAACCGTGAAGAATCTCTACAGTCATCAACACATAATTCTACCTTGGCACCATGAAACCCCGAGTTTTAGGTAAAATTTTACAGGGCCTTACATCCTCCCCGCTTAAGATCATTCGTCCTCGAATGAGGGTCAAAGTTCACCATTAGCATCCAATGTGACTCAGCTGCTATCTCACACCAGCAATTCAAAATTTTGAACTCCCTAAATTTCCCAAAACTTTGCCAGAGTTTCCCTTGTAATTGGGCCTATCCACCTGTTAGAGAATCCCAAAAACCTATCCTAACAACATATAAATAACCCAACGACGCAACATGACATGAAATAAGCACCCACCGTGACCTCATGAGCAATATATTATCAGAAAGGAACACCCTTAGCAGAAACTGTACAAATGATACATAATTCATAGGGAACAATTTCATAGAATCGATTTCATAGCTATTCAAACAAATGAGGGTACTTCTTCTTTATCTCTTCCTAGGCCTCCCAAGAGGCCTCTTCAACCTGTTGGTTTCGCCATAGTACCTTCACGGAGGCAATTTCTTTATTTCTCAGCTTACGAACTTGCATATCAAGAATGGAAACTGGAATTTCTTCATAAGTTAATTCCTCGTTAACCTCAATAGTCTCAACTGGAACAATAAGCGACGAATCTCCATCCACCTTCTTCAATATGGATACGTGAAACACCGGTGTACTAAAGACATCTTTGGAGGTAGTTCTAGCCTGTAAGCCACCTGACCAATCCTCTGAATGATTTTGTTATGTCCGACATACCTCGGACCCAATTTCCCTTTCTTACCAAACCGCATTATACCCTTCATAGGGGAAACCTTCAAGAGTACACAATCATCCTCTGTGTACTCCAAATCCTTGTGACGCACATCCGAATAGGACTGCTGATGACTCTAAGCAGTTTTCAACCATTCTGTAATGATCTTAACCTTCTCCATAGCCTGATGCACGAGGTCTGACCCTATCAACTCTGCTTCCCCAATCTCGAACCATCCAATGGGAGATCTACATCTCCTACCGTATAAAGCCTCGAACGGTGGCATTTGATTGCTAGAATGATAATTGTTGTTGTAGGCAAATTATATGAGTGGAAAATGATCATCCCAGCTACCCTTGAAGTCAAGAACACAGGCGCACAACATATCCTTAAGCATCTGAATAGTCCGCTCTGCCTGCCCATCGGTCTGCGGGTGAAAGGCTATACTAAGATTCACCTGAGTTCCCAAACCTTGCTGAAATTTCTTCCAAAAATTAGTCGTGAACTGTGCCCCTCGATCTGAGATAATAGAAACGAGAGTGCCATGCAACCTGACTATTTCCTTGATATATAACTGAGCATATTGTTCTGCTGTGTCGGTAGCCTTAACAGGTAAGAAGTGAGATGATTCGTGAGTCGATCCACAATTACCCAAATCGAGTCATACTTACGAGGCGTGCGAGGTAGTCCCACCACAAAGTCCATATTGATCATCTCCCGCTTCCATATTGGAATTTCTATGTTCTGTGCCAACCCACCGAGCCGTTGGTGTTCGGCCTTTTTTTTGCTGACAATTTGGACACCTCGCCATAAAGTCCGATGCATTCCTCTTCATATCATTCCACCAGTAAACTTCCTTAAGATCATGATATATCTTTGTAGAGCCCGGATGCACGGAATACCTAGAAGTGTGAGCCTCGGTCATGATTCTTTCCCGGAGACCATCTACATTTGGAACACATAGTCGCCCTTGGTACCTTAGTGTACCATCATCCATGACATGAGAAAATGCCATGGTCTTATGTTTATGAATCCCCTCCTTCAATTGTACTAACAATGGATCATTGTATTGCTTCACCTTGACCTCCACCACAAGCGATGATTCACCCTATTTTGCACAATTACCCCTCCTTCACTAGAGTCCGTAAGATGAACTCCCAAACTAGCCAACCGATGAACCTCCTTGGCCAACGGTCTTCGATATACCTCTAAGTGAGCCAAACTACCCATAGATTTCCGACTAAGAGCATCCACCACAAGATTAACCTTTCTCGGATGATATAGAATATTGATGTCGTAATCTTTGAGTAACTCAAGTCATCTTCTCTACCTCGAATTCAATTCTTTCTATTTGAAAATATATTGAAGGCTCTTATGGTCCGTGAATATATCCACATGGACACCATACAAATAGTGACACCAAATCTTCAATGCAAATACCACTGCTGCAAGTTCTAAGTCATGAGTGGGATAATTCTTTTCATGATTCTTGAGTTTCCTAGAAGCATAAGCTATTACCTTGCCATGTTGCATTAATACACACCCAAGTCCGATCCTTAAAGCATCACAATATACCACATACCCATTCGTGCCATCTGGTAGGGTCAACACCGATGCTGTAGTCAATATCGATTTCAACTCTTGGAAGCTCCTTTCACAAACATCTGACTATTGGAACTTAACCGCATTCTGCGTCAATTTAGCCAACGGGGAGGCAAGAGTAGAGAACCCCTCAACAAATTTCCTGTAATACCCCGCTAAGCTTAAGAAACTACGAATCTCTATTGGAGTTGTAGGTCTAGGTCAATTCTTCACAGCTGCAATCTTCTGAGGATCAACCTTAATTCCTTCTCTAGAGACGACATGACCCAAGAATGTGACATATTCAAGCCAAAATTCACATTTCAAAAACATCACATACAACTTATGCTGATATAGAGTCTGTAAAACTGCCCTGAGATGATTGGCATAGTCCTCTCAACTCCGTGAATATATCAGAATATCGTCAATGAACACTATCACAAAGGAGTCGAGAAAAGGCTTGAAGACTAAATTCATAAGATCCATGAAAGTTGTCGGGGCATTTGTTAGCCCAAAAGACATTACCAGGAATTCAAAGTGCCCATATCGGGTCCTGAAAGTTGTTTTCAGAATATCCTGCTCCCTAATCTCCAATTGGTGATACCCGGATCTTGAATAAATCTTGGAGAAGTATTTAGCACCCTGCAATTGGTCAAACAAGTCATCTATCCTTGGTAGTGGGTACTTATTTTTAATTGTGACCTTGTTGAGATGCTAATAGTCAATACATATCCTTAGTGACCCATCTTTCTTTCTTACAAAGAGAACTGGTGTGCCCCATGGTGACACACTCGGCCGGATAAAGCCCTTCTCTAACAAATCCTTCAATTGTTCCTTTAGCTCCTTCAATTCTGTCGGTGCCATTCTGTAGGGTGGAATAGATATTGGCTGTGTGCTCAGCATCACATCAATCTCTCTATCTGGTGGAATCCTAGGGATATCTTCAGGAAAGACCTCCGGATATTCATTCACAACCGGCACGGACTCAAATGTAGGTGCCTCAGCATCGGTGTCCGTAACCGAACCAAATGGTAAATACACCCCTTGTTAATCATCTTCGTGGCCTTAAGGTAAGAAATAAACCTACCCTTCGCATCACGGCATCCCCCTTCCATTCAATCATGGACTCATTTGGAAATTCAAACCTAACGGTTCTAGTTTGACAATCAAGCTTAGAGAAACATGAATAAAGCCAGTCCATCCCCATTATTACATCAAAATTAACCATCCCCAATTCAATGAGATTAGCCATGGTATCCCGACCACCCATCGTGACAACACAATCCCTATAAACTCGTGCGACCACAATAGACTCACCAACTGGAGTAGATATAGAGAATGACTCACGAAGCTATTCCGGTTCTATCCTAAATCCTATAGCAACATAAGGAGTGACATAGGGCAAAGTGGAACCGGGATCAATAAAAGCATACACATCATGAGATTGGACAGTCAATATACTTGTGACAACATTTGGATAATCCTCTGAACTCTAGCGACCTTTCAAAGCATAGAAACGGTTGGGTCCTTCCAAACTTTGTGCTCCACCCCTAGCTGCACCACGCCCTGCGGGTGCTGGAGTGCCTTGAGCTGGGGGAGGTGCTGCACATGTAGTAGCTGCAGAACTGGTTGGCTGTGCCATACCCCTGCCCACACCCTGGCGGGATGAACGATAATCCCTCTGAATGTGACCCCTCAATCCACACCCGTAGTATATGGGTAGGTCCATGTAACAGATTCCCAAAGTGATTTTCCACACCTAGGGCATAGGGGCCTCCGCTACTGCTGGAACATCCTACCAGGCTTACCCTGCTGGTAGGATCCCATGTTGCCCTGACCGGGCCTAAAACGACTCCACTGCTGCTGACTGGGCCCTGATGGTAGTGCAATGACTGAAGACTGAGCAAAAGATAGGGATGGCCCTGATGACCCTCCCCTGAATGCTGACCTACCACCACCACCACCACCAAATGAACCGCCAAAGTTGCCCGTGGACCGGGCCTTGCTGCCACCCTCTCACTCCATTCTATGCTTCAACTTTCGATTCTATGTCGCTTGAGCAAACGCCACCATCTTCCTATAGTTCATATCAGAATTCAAGGTGGTTGGAGTGGCCTCGTTGATAACCAAGGGGCTAAGTCCCTGTACAAACCGATGCACTCTAGCCTCCATAGTGGGCAATATGTACATAGCATACTTGGACAGGTGCGCGAATCTCCTAAAGTACTCCTACATACTAAGGCTACATTGCCTTAAGCTCTCAAACTCACCAGAACGGGCTGCCTTAGTCTCGGCAAGTAAGAAATGATCAATGAAGGCATAGGTGAACTCTCTCCACCTCGCCGGAGGGCTCCCCTCCTCAATGGACTCCTCCCACAATTCAAACCAAGAATATGCCACCTCGTTCAGGCGGTAGGAAGCTAACTCCACCGCTTCCGTCTCAGTAGTACGCATAACCCGAAGGGTCTTATGCATCTCATCAATAAAGTCCTGGGAGTCCTCCTCGGGGTTAGTACCAGTGAACACTGGAGTATCTAACTGAAGAAACTTGTTCACCCTGGAACTAGCAGATTCCCCTGGCTGACTGGAAGAAGTAGGCACAATATTTGATCTTTGGGCCTGAGAAGCCACTATCTGAGCCAACATCTGTATGGCTCCCCTAAGATCCCACTCAGAAACATCGGGACCGGAAGCTGGGGCTGGAGGTGGAACTGGAATATCAGTTGGAGGGATCGTTGCAACCTTAGTAGGTGTAGGAGCTGGTGTAGTCTAATTAGGTGTAGTAGAATCAGGCAGTGCAGTAGTCGGGGGAATATTCTCACCCCTTGGGTGCTCACCCCCATCATCAAGTTATGAATCAACTGCCACTCCTGGGGTGGCATTGGGTCCTTGGTCAGTTCTTGCTTTCTTCCTAGGTGCCATGTACTGAAAGTTAGAGCAATGCACAAGTTAAAGGAGGGACAATCTTACAATCTGCTTTATCGCATGATCTAGAACATCAAAGAAGGGTATTATTCCTAAATGCCCAATGATCTCGCCCAAACTCACACCTCAATTATAGGTAGTGAGGCGGTCGAAGCAATAATAAAACCCAACGCGAGTCGGGGTCGATTTCTTAGGGAGTTAGAAATGGGATTAGGTATACACCTAGTGTAATTGTATAATGTGCCTCAATTTGCACTTCCACATTCTTGTTGGTTGTTTCTATTTCTACATTTAACTAATGATTGCAAATAATAAACTAGAAGACAATGTTTTTGGTTTTGGTTGTTTTTCAAATGATAAAGGATCTAGGGCCGTGACTTCCACCTAGGTGGCTACCTAACGGGTTGTAAACTATAGGGTTAAGTTTGATTAATCGGGATCGTAGTATAGCAATCACACGCAATTGCTCACTCTATACCTCTCGTTAGTTTGAGTGATTTTGCCCAATTTGGCTTTCTCAAGCCCAAATGGGTATTGTACAAATCAAGTGATATATGCTCAAGTAGGGTCTTACTATCTCTTGATTTGATCCTTTAATTGGGGCTATCAATTTCTTGAGTTCACCCCAATTCCTTTTTAGCCAAGTTTTCCTAAACTTAGTCTCACTTTCTCCAGTAAAGACTAGGTCAAATAGGCATGAATCAATGTTTGCAACAATTAATTCTAGAATTTAAGCATAAACAAGGCTAAATATCACTAACTCAATCACAAACAAGCCCTAAGATTAAGTACTCATAAGTACCCGCACTAGGATTGAGTCACAACCCTAGCTAAAGATTTAGCTACTCATGAAAACTAAATAAATATAAGAAGAGATCAAGATAGAAAGCATAATAATTGATTAGACAAAGAAAATCTAATGTTTAGAGGTTAATCTAGTACAAAATAACTCTAAAAAGTAAAGAAAAAGGCTCAGGTGCACTTTTGAAAATCGAACTAACCTAAAAATGACAAAAAGTTCTATTTATACTAAGCTGAAAATATCTGACAAAAATGCCATTGCGAAGGTTGTGCGGCCGCATAATTCTGGCGCGGTCCGCACAATGGGCTTCTGCGGCCGCACAATTATCGTGCGGTCCGTAGTTTTTGGAAATTTGGGCTTGGAACTTCAGGCTTCTGTGGTCCGCATAAAAGTGGGTGCGGCCGCACTTCTGATTATGCGACCACACAAGAGTGGTGCGGTCCGCACTCTTCTGCTTTTGGAGTTGAGACAGCTCTCTAATTCTTCAATCTTGCAGACCGCATAATAATGACTGCCGCACAATTTTGGTGCGGTCCGCACTCCTTGATCTTTCCCAAACACTACTCTCTGAATCTCCCTTCTGCGGTCGCAGTAGAATTGTGCGATCCACACTGTCAGCCTTTTTGCCCAGTTTTGGTTCTTGTTCACTTTTGACTCTTTTATGAGTTAATTTTGACTTCTTTGGCTCGTTTCTCAATATTCTTGCAAGTAAGCGCATTTCGTTAGTCTCTGAGATTACCTTTAAGCATTTTTGAGCTAAAACGCAAGTAAAAGAGAGCAAATAAGCGGTCAAAATCCCTACTTATCACCCAAGTAGCCTTCTAATTATAGATGTGGTCGACAACATACTAATAAGAAGGAATCTACTAGACACGGCTCCGAGACATCCTATGACACTTTAAAACCTTAGGCTCTGCTACCAAGTTTGTCATGCCCCAACCTCGGGGAGTGCGACCGGCGCTCTACCGAGATAACCTGGCCGAGCAAGCCTATACAATACTTTCTACCCAAACTCATTCATGAATAACAAAAGGATCTATTTCATTTATTAGACAATGGGGAGGATCACGTGAACAACACCAATTCATTATCAATAGTTACATCACTTATAAGTTTCAAAATACATACACCTTCTTAGTTTGAAGTGAAACATGTGGTACAAATACAACATTACTAGTTTGACTTTCCCAGCACCAACATACAACTCACACTATGTCTACAGGAGCCTCTAATAGATACAAAAGAGTATGATGTAGTGCTGGCAATAAGACCCCGGCTATACCTCAAAACATAATGTAATTGGAACAAAGATACACGACCCCGAAATAAAGTGGGGCTCACTAAGTCAGCTAAGAAGAGGGTGTACCGCTATCAATGATCAAAGCTGCCTGCTGTAGAACCGCCTACATCCATTAATGATACAGCACCTCTGGCAAAAGAGACATTAGTACATATGGAATAGTACTAGTATGAACGACTAAACACCCTCTCAATAGAACGAGTGATAACACAAGGAAGAACAATCATACAATCGATGGGAGCCTCAAACAATACCAAAACATCAAGTTAGGAGCAAGGCAAGTAAATTTCCATATTTTAGGTTGGGAGATCTTAGCACCGATATACCATCGTCATTTTAGCACGGTGTCCGATCATGGCCTGATCGGCTAGGCCGTCTCACTCAAAGACATCAACCACAATCACAATCATTATCTCAATCTCAATCATTGATTCAATCATAATCTCAAGCACAATCACCACCATGTGTGTGGCATGGCGTCCGATCTCGACCCGATCAGCTAGGCCGTCTCACCACAATACCGTGTGGATAGACATCACCCTTTTCTAGCAATCATCTCATCCAAATAGAGGGAAATATTCTCATCACATCAATCTCATCCCTAATAATGGGAATAATCACAATTCATTCCTATACCGGCACGTGTAGTTTTGGGGTTAGGTTATTTCAGCCTACCCTTCCTCGGTGACTAACAAAACTCCCAGAGTGTTTATTTATTTAAAGGATTACAACTCATTTCAATATCTTTTGCACGACTCTTGATTTCATTGGCACTAGTGGCCCCAAATGTAATATCATTTTTGGCACGTTGGCCGTATTTCATATTTCATGGTCATCTCTTTTTCTTCCAAACATCATCACGGATCATCAACAACAAGCATTTCTACTTAGAACTCTAAGTACACATGTGAGCAAATAGGAATCTTAAACACATTGAGATTTCTTACACAATTTGACATAATGGCTTTCATTTGGAACATGACTCGAAGTTATAGCATTTAGATACGCAGCCCATACTTTGAACACGTTCACAAATAGTAATCATGACATAACAAGAACATTTGGAATGCATATTGAACATATCTCTTTTGACACAAGGCTTATTCGGAATAATCAATTTATAATGAACAACTCGGGACTTACAAGGACATTGTGGAGTTCAATCCTAAGAGACGAGTTTAGCCAACATACCTCGCCTCGAGCTCCTTAAATTACTATAATGTTCTGAAAATCTTAGCCACTTCGATCTATTTAGAAATATAGCAAAATTGAACACAATTAGGAAGGAGTTCATGGTTCCAGCTGATTTGAGCATTTTATTAAACACTAGGTGTGCATTAAGGTTTCAAGGTCCTCCTATGGTGGATTCCTTCATCCCACAACGCAATATCTACCCTTTTTAGCTCAACAATCTTCCTACAGCTTTGTTGGCACATGTATACATAGATAACATCCCCATACCTAAGAATCACAATCCCCGTTATTCACCTTCTACCCCAAATTAAAAATTGAAGTCTAGGGTAGGGAACCTTACCTCTTGGATGAAGACCTTGTGACTTGTTCTTGTAAATTCTTCAAGACTTGAGCAAAGATTGGTAAACAATTAGTTTAGAAACCTCCTCTTACTTTAGAGCACTTCCCCTCTCTCAAAATATCTGATTTTTACCTTACAAATGGTCTTCAACGACTATATATCGAAATAGGGTCGGGTTAAAATATTAGAAAAAATGAAGCCCCGATGCAGATCTGCAATCGCATATGCGACCGCATAACACTTTTGCGGTCCGCAAAATGGACCGCATAATAGCCCTCTGGAACTGGGCATTTCTGTGCAGGTGCGATAGGTCTACGGTCCACAAACAAATTCTGTGGTCGTAGAAGGGACCGCAGAACCTTCTTCCGAAATTTCTTATGTTGGCTTTTGCGAAGAATGTGCGTCCCGCGAAACGATTATGCCGCCGCATAATTGACCGCAAAATAACTCCCAAAGTTTGGCCAATTCTCTACGACGAATCTACGGTCTGCAAATCAGTTCCTTTGATCGCAGAATGGACCCAAGACGTCGTTCAACCCAAAAATTCCGTATCATGGCGAGATTGCGAGACACTAAGAATCTCTATAATCACCAATACATAAGTCTACCTTGGCACCACGAAACCCTAGGTTTTAGGTGAAATTTTATGGGGAGCCTTTTTAGTAATAAGATCTCCCTGGACCTATTTTAAAATTAGATTTAATCAGTCTAATATATCATTAACCTATTATTAGCTCAATCCTACAAGAGAGTTGTTCACCTGTGAAACAATATTTCGGGTTATGTTCTCGAGAGAGCGATGGTCAGACTGGCCCTGTTAAGTTGGCTAATTAAGAATTTCCATATTCAGAAGATGAAAGTAGCAGAGATGAAGATGTTGAGATGGATGTGCAGACATACTAAGTTGGATAAGATTAGGAATGAAGATATTCGGGAGAAGGTGGGCGTGGCTCCCATAGACGACAAGATGCGGGAAGCGAGGCTTAGATGGTTCGGGCACGTGCAGAGAAGAAGCCAAAATGCCCCGTTGAAGAGGTGTGAGTGGTTGGCTTTGGTAGGTGTGAAAATAGGTAGAGGGCGGCCTAAGAAGTATTGGGGTGAGGTGATCAAGCAGGACATGGCGCGACTTCAGATTTTCGAGGACATGGCTCTTTATAGGAAGGTGAGAAGGTCAAGTATTAGGGTTGAAGGTTATGAGGGGGTCGAGCGTTTTTCTTCTTTATACCAGGGTTGGAGCTAGTCTGTTAGGGTTTTGTCTTTGACTGCTAGTGGTTTATGTTGTGTCCGTACTATTTTTTTGTTTTTTCATAGTACTGTGGTATTATTACTGGTTGTTGTTATTGCTTTTCCATCTATTTTCTATTTTTTACGATGCTAAAATTATTTTTCTGGTTTTGTTGCTGTCACAGATTCTATTGTCTATTTTCGTCTTCTTGGGTTGAGGATTTCTCGGAAACAACCTCTTTATTCCTCCGAGGTTGGGGTAAGGTTTGTGTGCCCTCTACCCTCTCCCACCCCACTTGTGAAATTACTGGATTGTTGTTGTTGAGAGAAAAAAAAAAAAAAAAAACTCAATCGGCCCTTATAATTAAAGCCTCCCTTGAAAAACAGTGTTGTGTTATTTCTTTGAATAAGCCAAAACACGTGGAAAGAAAATACTTGCAAGAAGGTAAATAGTGTTTCGGTGGCTATTTTTGTTTCGAGGGACCCAAAGCATTATTGAACTCTAACTTTCTTGTTTTCTTTCTTCATTTGAATACTTCACTTCTTTCCTTGTCAAATGCTTGCAACTTTGCAAGTTGTTGTAAGTGAAAGGATCATTTCCACATCATCCAGTGAACACCAGCTCAGAGTTTGCATTCTAATTGAACTAGTGAACCATATAAAACAAATTTAAATACGTAATACGAACTTCTTAATTAATACTCCCTCCGGTCCAAAATAAGTAATTTTTTGGATGTTTTCATGCAGATTAAGAAATCCACCGTTTAGCATTAATTAGCAATGGAATTGACCATACTTTACTATCTCACATAAACACTCCTAACACATATTCCAACACTATTTACTCCAAGGACAATGTAGGAAAAAAATAATTAATTCATTCTTGAAATCTGGAAAAATCGCTTATTTTGGACCACAAGAAAAAGGCCAAAAAATTACTTATTTTGGACCGGAGGGAGTACTAGCTTTGAAACAAAATTGAGAGGCCACTTTACTTTAGGGGCGCAGAGGGAAAATCATATAATAGCAAGTCAGTTATCATTTTTATTTGAAAATTAATTAATATTTATCATAGAATTACATGAAATTACCTTATAAATGATCTGACTGTATAAATATTTTTTTTTACATAAACTCGGAACGATACAAGTGATGTGTGATATCATACTGTTAATAAAAGTGAGAAGATAAACAGAAGTGCAAGATAAACAGGAGTTCATTGCATGTGTCCTGAAATGCATCCACAAACGTAATTATACTATTTGGATTCCATATATTCTTGATGCATAAGGGATTTTAATAAAAGACAATTAGGCAGTGAACTGATCAACAAGCAGAGAGCCAAAAATAATGAGAAGAGAGTGAAAGCTGAAAAATAATGAAGTTGTTAGTAACCAACCTAAGGGATTTCACCCGCTAATACTAGCTGTGGTAGATTCACTAACCCACCTATCATTCACAGAATTTGGTGAAAGATGTAATGTAGATTTCATCAATTGTACATTATCTTCTGATTCATCTACATTGTCAATGACATTAATCTCTTCTTTCTTCTGGTTTTCAAACTCGCCCCTCCGAATCGCCTTTAGAATTTCCAGCACTTCATCCATTCTTGGCCTCATCTCCTTCTCAAGTTGCAGACATTGAAAAGCTAGCTCTGCAACTGAAGTAGTCATTCTCCTAACTTCAGCATCCGACGCGTAACCAAGAGATGGATCAATCAACTCCTCAAATGCACATTTCAAAATCTTGTTTAATGCAAAGTTAGCCAAACTAATTTCATCCTTATGTCTACTTATATCCACAGCAGGCAGTGATGATATCAGCTCAACAAGGACAACCCCGAAGCTATACACATCGCTTTTATTAGTTAACTGATAACATGCATGATATTCTGGATCGACATATCCAGGCGTCCCCTGAGGAGCAGTCGAGATATGAGTTGCATCATGTGGAGAAAGTCTTGATAGCCCAAAATCCGCAACTTTGACACCAAAATTGTTGTCAAGGAGAATGTTAGTAGTCTTAACATCGCGGTGTATTATGTCAGAAGCGTGGAGATAAGCTAAAGCGCTGGCAGTTTCTATGGCAATTTTCATGCGGATAGGCCATATAAGGGTACTCCCATTCTTTGCTTTATCACCATGGAGGTGATCAGCAATTGTTCCATTTGGAATGTATTCATAAACGAGGAGGAGTTCACGACTATGCCTTGATGTGCAACCATAAAGCATAACAAGATTCTGGTGCCTTAGGCGAGTAAGAATTTCAACTTCATTCTTAAATTGCACCATCCTCTTGGAACTTTGCTCGTACAGGCGTTTCACTGCAACTTCCCTCCCATCACGAAGTTTACCTGATAAAAGAACTACATTATTAGCTTACTGAAATATGTTACCAACCCAATAGCATTGATACAAAAATGCAAAACTCAGCCTAATGCTTTTTCCAAATGTGATGACTTGTTGAATTATGTGGCTTATTACCATGGTATACAGTTCCAAAACCTCCGTCTCCAAGTTCTTTGGAGGAATCGAAATTATTGGTGGCTTCTTCAAGTGTAGAGTAGGAGAAGACAGGAACTCCAAAGTACTTGCTGCCGCCTTCAAGATCATGCCTCAAGGAATCAGAATATGTATTTCTTGTGAAGAAGTAAGAACAACCACCCTTTCCTTTCTTGAAACGCCAGATAAAAATACTAAGGCAAATTGAAAGGATCAAGCCAATTACTGCAGATAAAACTGAAGCAAACAACAGAGGAAACTGATCAAATTTTGTTTGAAAAATGACTACAGACAAGTGGAACATAGTTGAAGAAGACAATATGGGAGCACATTGAGTAAATCTGGTAATATGAAAAGGATTTGTGGTTACAGATAGTTACCTATAACTAGAATTCGCTTCGACTTTCTTTTTGCTGCAACCAAAGTAAATCAACAAAAAGGTTAGATAAATGTTCCACCAGGAGGAGGAACTGAGAGCTAATTATGACTAGCTTATGCTGCAATGTTAAATCCATAACAAGATTATGAGAGGACTTCTAAAACAATCTGCAGAATAAATAGAGTGGTGAGATTATAATCTTGGTAATGGACTAGTAAAATCCAGCAAGATTCTTCTATAAAACATGTCCCAAGCAGTAGCGGAGCTAGGATTTTCACTAAAGAGTGTCAAAATTTAAATAAGTAAATACGCGAAGAAGTCAAGGGGATTCAATACATAGTAGTATATATACATAAAAAAATAAGTTTTACCTTTCTAAACATGCATTTTTTCGGCGAAGGGGTATCCTTGACACCCCTTTGAGCTATGTAGCTCCGTCACTGGTCCCGAGTAACACAATGAAACAAGCAGAACATTGGAAATACTTATGGCTCACAACTCACAAGCTATGCAATTAAAATGACAGAAACTGAAACTGACAGTGTAAATTGCAAAGATTAGGCCAAGAATTCCAACTAAAACTGAATGATACATAGGAGAGCAACCAGTTTCATGAAAGCAGTCCATTTTTAGATCTCCAAAAACGAGAAGCGATCATTCAAAGTAGAATTAGAGAAATCTCACAGTATTGTACGTCAAGCATATTGGACCCATAACAAGAACATCTAAAATATATTGCAGTGTAGGGAAAGGCGGTTAAGTATACAAACTTCACTTACCTTTGGGATTGGAGGAACAAAGAAATTTGTTGTTGCTATCAGCTAAACATCGACCTCCTTGATAGTAACATTTACTACAATCATCAGACAGGCTCCACTGAATTGTAAAATTCGCGGTTAAGAGATCAAACAAGCTACTATTTTGAGCTAACTGTGACCTCCATTTAATTGGTAACTGAACCAGTGAACAGTTATCAGGAATACCTCCATCTGGTGCATCCGAGTAGCCTTCCCTCCATGTTGTCGGATACTTGTAGTAAATGCCGAAGCCACTACATTCAGTATAATTCTTATAGTCACGAAAATAGTGATCATTCATCCTCCTGCTGATGTCTAGACTGTTGTTGCATTTGAACAAGGTAATATTGCGTTCGTTGGTTCTCAACGAGACAGCAGGAGAACTTGGAAAAGATATACTTTTATCAAAAGAATGGCAACTGTTTCTTGCCAATAAATCATTAAACCTAAGGTCTAAAACTCTATAACTATTATACGAACGTTGTTCCAGAGCAGTGTAAACATTTCCTCCCAAATGAATTGTTGGATTTGGTTTAGTATCACAATCTATTGTGTACAATCCACAAGCAGGTTGTGAGGATACAGAAAAAGGAAACCTCACATTTCCAAAGCTCCCACAATTGAATTCCTCGGGGCAGCTATCTCGGGATTGATTCTGAGCTTGAACTGAATTAAAGATGAGAAACTGATAGAAAATCAAGAAAACTGACAAATAATCTAAAGCTAACATTCTCGAATCTCGTATTAATTATAGTTTGACTTAACATATGCAAAAATATAAACAAGGAAAGACGAAGCAGAAAGTAAATAATATTTTGTTGCATTTAAGTATACTTTCTCTTGTTGTTCTTTTCCTGCACCACATGTTTGATTCCTATCCCTTAAACACGTTAGTTGACTTAGAATATTGGCTCTTAAGACTTACCAAAATGGAGGACTTTGCCCACTATTGTGTCCATTTGACTAGCCATATAAGACTTTTCAAACTATGTTATTTTCTTGAATTTCACCGATATAAACATGCCATTAAAAAAAGACTTTTCAAGAAAACCTGTGCTTAGTTTGAAATATTAAGGGAAAAAACTGGCTTTACATCTTCTTTTTCTTGTAATTATATCGATCCAACGTGAAGAGGAGTCTTGGAGCAACGGTAAAGTTGTTTCCGTGTGATCTATAGGTCACGGGTTCGAGCCATGGAACAAGCCACTAATGCTTGCGTTAAGTTAAACTGCCTACATCACTCCCCTAAAGGTGTGACCCTTCCCGGAACCTTGCGTGCGGGATGTTTTGTGCACCGGACTACCTTTTTTGTTTTTTTTATTTTATAGTATTGATCCAACGTGGGAGAAAAGTGGGAAAAAAAAAGAAAAGCATAAATAAAGACAAATAAAACTTGTATATGGGGTTGTCCTTATTCCATAATCTCCATGTCTCTCTTGCCATCATTTTCTCAGTATTGGTAGATAAATCGACTCAAGTTTGAGTTTGTCTTCTTTCTTGAAGTCATTAAAAAAATAGAGACATTACAGCTAGTTGGATATTAACAAGGGAAATTTAAAGAAATTTTTTTATAGAATAAAGCTATAAACCTAAAGGAGGGATGATATCATTTATAGTTTACCTTGACATTTTCAGTCATCTATGAAGACTTAGAATCCAAATTCTGACTCCTTTTTCAACCAATTGAACAGAATAAAGGGTAAAGAAGGCACAAATATTTTTTATAAAATAAACCTTATCAAACAGAAAAGTTGTTTGTCTCTCCAAATTAGTGTCATTTTTTGGAACCAAAGGCGAATAGTTCTTAAATTGGAACCCCAATTTCACCAACAAGCCTTATAGTTTAGTGATATGAGTAGTAGTCATTCACACAAGAGGTTTGAGCTCAATTTTCACTGTTCTCCTGTTTAATAAAAATAATTATAAAAAAAAAAATGCAATTCTAGATATATTGTGTCTATTTGTCAATTGTGGGGCAACCAAGTTGGAAAAGCAGTGCAGAGATATACTCACAAAGGCCGAAAGTTCTTTGGTCTTTATCCCTTGGGAAGGCCACCAGAATTCAGAGTATCAGCAGACTACTAGTCGCTTTCAGCCTAAATTTTGAAGAGAGAGTAATGTGATTGTCACCGCCCAAAATACCTCCGAAGGTGTCGTGATGGCACCTAGTCTTTAAAACTAGGTAAGCCTAACATTAACATAATTAACGATCTTATTGACTAACTTTGAATTAGATATCTCCGAACAATTTATAATTCTCAAAATAAGTAGTACAAGTCATAAGCCTTTCTAGAAATAGTTATACAAAATGAATACATCACTGTTCCAGAACAAAAGGTAACAATGGAAATAGGTACAATAGAAGGTGACTCTAAGGCCTGCGAACGCAGCAGCAGGTTTATCTTGAGTCTCCACAATAACGATCCGCACCGCCACTAACGATCAAATACCTGGATCTGTACAAAAATGAACAGAAGTGTAGTATGAGCACACCACAGCGGTACCCAGTAAGTATCAAGGCTAACCTCGGTAGAGTAGTGACGAGGAACAGTCAAGACACCTAGTGGTCTAATAAGCTGAACAAGATATGATAATAACTAACAAGATACAGATAACAAAGTAACGCAAGGAAGAATTCAAATTACAAACAGTAGAGACGATAAGGGGGAAAACACGGATGGTACCGAGAAGTAACCATGTAAATTAACACCAGCATAGCTGGGATACAGACAAGTAAAAATGTGCTCAAATAAGGAAAGCAACGTTAACTCAACCAATCGCATCATTCCTAATACACAATTCCGACCATCCCAATCCTCGAAGTCTCAGATCACAATCACAAATTCCAGACCTTTAACACACATGGCATATTGTGCCCACATATTTCCCTTTCACTTTGCACGTCAAAGATCTACATGCTACTTAGTACATAATATCCGTGACAAATGCTAATTAAGATGTTCAAGAAGTCCCATTTATATATCATAAGGTAAATTTAAAGTTTCTAGACCAAATAGGAAAACCAACGAGAAAAGATGAAGTTATTTTTAGAAATCATTTGAGTGAAGAAAATAATATTTTTCAAATAGAGATACAACATCGGATAAGCTATCACCTTTAATACATGATTCATTAAATTAAAACTTAACAGAAATTCCATTTTAAGAAAATACAACCTCGGTCAGGTAAAGGGGGTTTAGTTGAGAAACCGGTTGAAATAAAATATAACAATTATTAGAAATAGTGGATACTAAAATATACAGCGAGTTCTAACTTAAAGGCACACAAGGAAACGTGATATTAATTCCTTCATTTTAAATCGCGATATTACGAACGACCCAGCAGGGCAGGAGGAAATGACAACGTAGTAACTCTACTTTGAAATTAATTCACCAGAATAATAGTATTAGGAAAAGAACTCAGGAAATAACGGCAAGTCAATAAGTCAATGACAATAACTCGATCCTCAAAACTCAGTGAAAACCAGAAATACAAATTATCAAGTCTAGCACGAAGGAACTAAAGCCAATACAGTGAAACGGGGGATACCAAAATACAATATGTTGCGGCACGCAACCCGATCCCACCATATAATATCAATTCACTCTTATTCCTCCTCATATATCACCTTTATTCCTTCTGTTGCGCGTGCAACCCGATCCCACCGTACAATATCAATTCACCCTTATTCCGCTTCAATATATCACCTTTATTTCTCCTATTGCGGCGTGCAACCTGATCCCACCGTACAATATCAATATCATAACAATAAACATAATATGTTGCGGCGCGCAATCCGATCCCACCATATAATATCAATTCACCCTTATTCCTCCTCAATATATCACTCTTATTCCTCCTGTTGCGGCGTGCAACCCGATCCCACCGTATATAATTTAAATCAACAACAACAAATCTACAACTCAATTACAAGAATTTCTACCACCAAGAGTATGAGTACACGACAACAAGAGAATCACGTAAAAATCAAAGGATTACAACAACCTTTACAAAACAATGAGGCATGTAAGGCACATGATAACTACACAGGTAATCACAACAATTTAGACAAGCAGCATATATGCACAGAGTCATAGAAGAACTCTCAATTAAGAAGTAACAAAACAACAAGAAAGACAATAACTTCAACTAGGACAAATAAGGCCAAACAACGAGCAAGAGATAAATAAATGCTAACAACATTAGATAGAGCATGTAAGTGTAGCCTAACAACAAAATATCACATATTATGACAATTTGATCAAAGGCATGGAAAAAGACTAGACAATCTAATCGGTCAACACCACATATAAACTATGTACCCACTCGTCTTGCGTACACAGTTTTCACATATCGAGATAGCACAATTGACTCAATTCCTAAGGGGTGGTTTCCCTCACACAAGGTTAGGCAAGATACTTACCTCAATTCGGCCAACTCAATACTCAATTTAGCTTTTCCTTTACCAATTCACCATCGCCCGGCCCAATCTATCCAAAGAAGACTTAAATACATCAAACAATGCAAGAGAAAATAATTTCAATTAACAAAGCTATGATCCTTATACAATTTGCAAAAAGTCAACAAAAGTCAACTCCCCGGGCCCGCACCTCGGAAGCCGACAAAATTTACAAAACCTGAATACCCATTCAATTACGAGTCCAACCATACTAGTTTCACTCAAACCCGACTCCGAATCGATATTCAAAACTCAAAAATTCACTTTATGAAATTGTAGACAAAACCCCCAAATTTCACTTTGAAATCATCAATCAAATGCCTAAAACGAAGATGAATTTATAAAATATAACCAAAATCGAGTATAGAACACTTACCCCAATCTATATAGTGAAAACCACCTCCAAATATTGTCCAAATTCGAGCTCCCCAACTCAAAATATAACCAAATGAACAAACTTTCGATATTAAGTATTTTGCCCAGCTGTTCTGCCTCGTTTTATATGCCAAACAATCCCGAAACTCGCTTTTGATGCCTCTAATGGATTTCTTGTGAAATTTCAGTCAAGTTAGGCTTTTGAATCACTCCATTTGACCTTATAATGAAGGAGATATGTTGGTTTTAATATTTGGAAATAGTGTAGATTTTTAAATACGAAGTCAGTGGTAATTTCGTAATTAATCTAAAAAAATCTGGCAGCCCAATTCTTTGTAAAATGACCATAAAATCCTCATACGATGTCAATTTTTGACGATTCATTTTTCTATGGCTCCTTAGTTACGATATGGATCTAATGCTTCAATCAAAACAAAAATTGGAGCTCATATGTTTAATGTGGTACCATTTATGCTTGAAGAAACGACGTCGAAACATAAGAAAAACAAGCGCAACACAATCCAAACCTATACGAAACTCACCCGAGCCCCTCGGGACCCCGTACGAACATACCAACAAGTCTCATAACAAAACACAGAGCTACTCGAGGCCTTAAATCACGTGTAATAACATCGAAATGACGAAACGCACCTCAAATCAAACTTAATGAACTTTTGACTTCCAAAAACTCGCACCGAAACATATCAAATCAACTCGGAATAAACTCAAATTTTGCACACAAGTCCTAATACATCATGCGGAGCTACTTGTACACCCAAACCGGTCAGGTCGTTACATTCTCCCCCACTAAAACATACGTTCGTCCTCGAACGTGCCAAGAGTTGTTCCAAAGCCATCAAACCACTACATGAGCTCACCATACATACACCCAGGGGTGATTCCCCATCACCCAAACCTATGTAGGACTGACATTGCAATTTAACTGAAGATCTCACTTTATCCTTAGTCCATAACCTTAGGACAGAACCCAAATCTCAACATATG